TATTCGCCTGCCTACTCTCTCACCTACTCCCCCGGCGAATATCTCAGTTTTTTTCCCGCATACTCGCTCGCCTACACGCCCGCCTACTTACCCACCTACACGCCCACTTGCCTATTTGCCCGCCTTCTCTTCCGTCTATTTGCCTGCCTACTCGGCCACCTACTCTCTTGCCTTCTCTCTGGCCTATTCACCCGCCTATTCCTCCGACTACTCGGCCGCCTATTCTTATGGTTACTCTCCTGCCTACTCGCCCGCACGCTTATTTGCCCCGCAAAACGTTTTGCCTCTTGGGCGAGCGAGCGCGCGGACGGTTGAGCGGTCTAGCGAAGGGCGGGTCAGTGGGCGCGCAGACAAGAAGTGGGAGAGTTAGTAGGCGGACGGGTGGGTAGGCGGGTGGACGCGCTGGAAGACGGGCTGGACCGGTTCCTGGACTACCCCGCGCTCGCCACTGCCTACCCGAAGACTCCACACGCGAGAGCAGTCACAGCGCTTCTGAAGGCTCCTCACAAGGGATCGAAATTGATGACAGGACGCGGAAATGGTTCTCGCGACAATGGTAGCTGAAATTGTTAGTCTTCCAGTGTTGCTGTTTAAAATGTTGTTACAGACAACATAAATCCGTTTGTCCTTTCAAACTTGTAACTCGAAAGAGTTTGACCATAACGCATTAGATCTTTCTTTCTGACTAATATAAGATGTAGGAAGCAAAGTATTATTTTGAATATGCAGTTGATGACAATGCAGTGGAGATTCATGGAAAGAAATAGCTTTGTTTAAATTGGGAGTGTAGGAGGAATGTGAACAAAATTGCATCAACACTGATCAATTCTCCTGTCACAACTGTTTGGTCAACTCTTGACCCTAGTTCGTTTTTTCTCGTTATGGCGACTCAAGAATAGGCAAGTCTGATTGCTGTGCAAACTGTGATTACTAGTTTTCCGTTCCAACTCGTATGTTCTTCAAAAATATATCGGGAGAAATTACTGAACTTTATACAAGGTAAAATTCTTGGCTAATTTGCGCACAGAACAAATGTTACGTTTTCTGTAATATGTTTTCTGAAAGGAAATAAGCATGTCGTAATGAAATCCATAATAACGTGTAATTTCCGTGCTATTAAAATGTTAGAATCATAGTCGTAGGTCAGCTGGTTTAGCGGCATTTCCCCAGTTTCAGAGGAAGTGTTGCAGGAGAGATGCTTGCATGCGATCCTAGGTGCTTGGTATTTAGGCTGCGCCCTGCTGCGGAAATAAGAGTAAGGAGGGGGTTCGAAGTGGGACACGAGGCCCATGGTGGGGGGTAGAGGCCTGCGTGCGGGTGAAAGAAAAAAAAAACGACAATCGGAATGTACTCGCAGAACGGCGTAGGAATCTTCACAGCTCGTGTGAATCTTCGGATACTTTCTGATATTTGCTGCTGCTTCATTTTTCCCCCTCACAAACTGTTAAACGTAAAATCAGTAAAGAGGTTTAAATAAGCTTCGCCGTCTTCTGCTGACAACCCGAGTCATCGGGTTTCTCCCTCCACTTCACGGGCGTTTATTCCACTGCGACCTTCTTGATGGCACGTGCGCCTGCGTGACGGAACCACGCAGCGCCGTCTCGTCTTGCTTTTGCCCCGGGGGGTTGCTTTCTTTTTCGCGTTTTCTTGTTTTCCTTACCTTCTTTTTTTCTCGCCTTGCACTCTCCTTCCCCCCGCCATGTTTAATGTTCCTTTCTCTTACCTCTTCCTCTATTTATGCGTTGTCTTTCATTTTAGAATTGTAACGTTTCCCCTAACATGCTTCCAGGTTGAGTCAAGGGGTTCATTTTTTGAACAATCTTGCTATCGTACTTTTTGTGCTCGCCGGCACTTTAATCGCTTTTATATTTATTCGTGCCCTCCAATAAAGAAAAACATAACAGTACTCATTGAAAAAGGATGAAATATTAAATAATATCTCATCAATCAATCAAATGTGATGTTCGCTCACCACTTCATCGTAATTTCCACAAGTTTTGTTTATCTTTCTTTTTTTCCCCAACAAACACGACTTCTGATTCCACGAAATATCTTTCTTCAAAATCCTGCCTTCCAGATAACAGGAAGAGAAATTTGTTGGGTGAGTGAAGTAATCAATAACCCGTGTATTCTTTATCAATTCCTTACAAGAAGGCAGTTACATCACTCCAATGATGTAACGTAATTTACCGTACAACCTATGAGGTATTAGTATAACTTACTTAAAATTTTTGACAAAAAATTGTTGAAAAAATAACACGAAAAAACCTGAATCCGAACAACACCAAAATTATAATTTACGACTGATCTCTTGAAAGGACCCGAAACCTTGATGAAAGCAGATATAAATCCATGATTGTAAATGTATTGTATTACAGTAATACAATAAAAAAGAGTGGTAATCAAGATGTATTGGATTTTTTTAACACTTTTTTCACGGATTTATCACTATATCCAAAATTACATCACAGGCCGAATCGTGGTTATTCACTGTTTTTGTTACATACATTTCAGGTATGTCACGCGTACCTAATGTAACAAACGTAGCAGATGATGAATCTTGTCCCGCGCAGAGTGAAATATTAACCCGCCGTATTAGTATACCCCGAAGTCTTCGTATTGCGGGCTGCAGAAAAGGCAGAACTATCGTTTATCGAATCACGCATCTGGAGAGATGACTCAAGAAATCAACTGCTGTCAATGCAGTGCCTCTGACCGGGAGGTCCTGGGGTTGAGTCGCGACTTCGGCAGGATTTTCGACGCCCAGGTAGCTTGGTCGAGTTTCTGTCGCTATGTGAAGGAGAATTCTAGCGGCCGGTTGCTCTGATCTACCTTTTTTCCGTGGTTTCTCCGATCAATAACAGGTGAATGCCGGAGCTGTACCCTACCAAACGGGCCACGGTCCGAACTCTCCCTTCCCCTTGTCCAATACTCAACCATTACATAGACTTACTCTTACACGCACCATAGCACCACACATGCCGAGAGATCGGTCAGGAGTTTAGAGCTAGACCTGGCTGGAGCGGTTCCCCACTGGTGGGAGATACCTGGTTGGTGAAAACCCCATTAACCGACGGTAGGTCGGCGCCGAATCTCGCCATTTAGCGGGACAAGATTACCGCCACCTCCCGAAGAAAAAACACGCACCACACTTACAGGATTAACGCCCTTAGCTGTTTAAGCTGAATCACTAGTAATCAGTCAATTAATTAAACAATCAATCAATCAATCATCGAATCACGGAAATTTCGTGGCCAGCTATCACAAGTGGTACGTTCTCCGTTCGGGTTGTGCACGCTGCAATGGAGTGCGCTACCCAGATCTCGCTCTGCGCCTCGCCTCACCGAGCAATTGCTTGCGTTCGGGTCGAGCTCCCCCGCGCAACGCCGCGCCGCGCCGCGCCCGCTTCGGTTCGGCTCCATTCGGTTTTATTGAACTTCGCGCCGTGTCGTTGCCTCCCAGTTTGACTTTCATTCCGTTCCGATCTATTTCTGTGAGCCGCTCCGGCCGCCAGGCTGCCACTGCCCATTCAGATTTCTCTTCGTTCCGTCTGTTTGCTGTTTGAGTTCATCGATCACGCTTAACGCAGCCCATTGATGCTCTGCTCTGTGATTGCTAGTGGTTAAAGTGTTGGTTGCGCGCTGTGGAGTGAAGTGCATTTCGAATGCTATCCACGGCAATAAAAGTTTTGCACCGAGATGGCAATTACTTGTGAGAACTTTGCTACATCTTCATGTCTTTTTGTATAGGCATAGGCCGCTCACAGCATCCATTGATGTCACTGCACTGCTTCTCACCGAGAGATCCTATTGGGTTCGAGTCCCGACAGTGGCAGGATATATGGCACGAGCCACTTAGCTAGGTCGCTTTCAGCCTCTCGTATGGAGGAGAATTTTAGCGGCCGGCGGCTGCTGTGATCGGTAGTTTTCCGTGGTTTCTTCAACCAACTCCGTCATTGCCGGAGCAATTTCCTAACAAACGGGTCACGGAAAACGCTCGATCTTTCCTTCCTCTTCCCTCTTCTATCCTCACCTCTTACGGACACACACTTGCACGCAATACACTACCATTCATGTCGGAATCTCACCCTGAACATCACTGCCATCTACCGCGACATAAAGAGCACTACATTTACAGAATTAATGATTTTAGCCTTTGACGCTCATGGAAACACCAATCATGACTTTTTCCAATTATCGCCTTTCTCTATACCGGATCTATACATATTTTTAGTCAGTTCTCCATATTTGCTCATTACGATCTGCCTCTCTTTCCATTCATTACTATTTTGGAAAGACAGTGCATTTTCTAGGATGGTCATTACATTATCCTTTATATTACATTGTCCTCTTTGTAACGGGGCTTCATTTATTAAAACTGGTGGCAATTTAATTAGCAGTCACCTCCATTAATGTCAGTTTACATTTTCCTCAGTTCACGCCTTTGCTTGCAAGGTTGAAGGCCTGAATGCTTCTTTCTTCACGGTGGAACTCTGCAGGATACCACTGGCCTATCCGCAGAAGGACGCGTCGGAATCGTGTTTGTCTCCGTGGATTTCGGCTGTCGATGAAGTGCTGTTGTATAACAGGAAACGCACAAGGCTACCGAAGCAATCACTGGCAGTCGAACACGTAGCAAATGACAACCGCGTTCCCTTATTTTATATATTTTAATTGATACAAAAACACAAATGCTGTTCTGTGACCTTCCACCTTTCTGCCGGTCAGTCCTTGATTCACAGCCGGGAAGGCGATGGTAGATTCGAAAGGTAATTAATTCTCTAGTTAAATGTAACGATCGGTATCCTTCAACAGCAATATTTCCTTTCGAGAAATAGTAGGGAATCATTGAACGTTTTCCTGTACAAATCTTGCGCATTGTTTGAAGACAGAATGCTAGAAAGCAAGTAAGTGGAGGACCGTCTGAGTTGCAAATGTTTGTGACTTCACGTGCTATGAGGATTTTTCAAGACCTCTGGGATTTTTTTACGTTTTAGAGGTGTAGTTGTAGTATAACTAGAATAATTAATAATAAGAATATGTTATCAATTTGAAATAATTGGTTATGAAATCAGTTATTTGAATCATCCTGATGATTTTTTGACGTATCAACTCAACGCGTGAGTGGGATGTAGAGAGGGTTAGATTTCTACACTGGACGTAGTTGTCCTCGCGTACGTGTTGTGTCGCAGAAGGCTTCACATTCCGCTGACACGATAAAGGAACCGAATGTGTGTTAGTTGTGTTGCACATAATTCATTATACTGAGAGTTGAGATTTAGCCGGGTAAAAACAGAGTGGAGAACAAGAGTAAGAATGTAAGATAGAAAAAAAGAAATTTATAAAAATTGAGAACATGTCCTTAACGATAGTATGATTAATGGTTATTATTATTATTATTATTATTATTATTATTATTATTATTATTATTATTATTATTATTATCATCATCATCATCATTATTATTATTATTTCTGCAAGTCTCTCGCTTACTGAGGCGCCTATAGTAGACACCGGGACCTGTGTAGAACCAAGGCGCCTGCTTCGCTTGCAAACTCGAGCGGTCAGTTATATCAATAGAAACGATGCGTGCAGTACTCAGGAGAACGGCCTTTTGCATTGTTTGAATGTGTGAGTTCATAAGGCCAAGCCTTGCAGACGATTAAATTAGTTTTTCGGAGATCAGTCCATTTGCAGAGATGACCACAGGGACTTCAACAGATACTAAGCGTCACATGTCGCTCAGTTCACTAGCCAAGGCCTGATATTTTCCCTTCTTCTCGGCGACAGAGGCAACAATATTTCGATCTAAAGGGAATAGCTATGTCGATTATCACTTTCCAAATGCAACCGTTGTCAATCCATATTATGTCAGGTGTGTTGGCTTCGACCTGGCGATCAGTGGTGACAGCTATCATTCCTTCTTCTTCTTCTTCATTTTTTGTCTTCTCTTTTTCTTCTTCTTCTTTCTTCTTCCTTCTTCTTCTTCTTCTTCTCTTTTCTTCTTTATTATTATTATTATTGCTATTATTTTTATTTTTTAATTATATTTTTACTAACTATTATTATTATTATTATTATTATTATTATTATTATTATTATTATTATTATTATTATTATTATAGGAATGTTTGGTTGTGGTATTAAGTGTTCCTTTCTCCCCGCAGTAAGTTCGTGCTGAACGAGCCCAAGGACATCTTCGACGGCGTGGGCGCCCCCGACTGGCGCCTGTCCGTGTGCCTGCTCATCTCCTGGGTGGTGATCCTGCTGGTGATCATCCGCGGCGTGCGCTCCTCGGGCAAGGCCGCCTACTTCCTGGCGCTGTTCCCCTACGTGGTGCTGGTGATCTTGCTCATCCGCGGCTGCACGCTGCCCGGGGCCGTGCAGGGCATCATCTACTTCGTCAACCCGCAGTGGGACAAGCTGCTCGAACCCATGGTGAGTTCGTGGGCATTGGCAATTGAATTGTAGAGCTCAACGTCGATGGCGTAACGGCGTGGCGGCGGCGGCGGCGATGGTGTAACGGTTAACGTATCGGACTGTTGTACCCCAGTTGGCGGGTTCAAACCCGATCGAAGCCGTGGGTTTTTAAGGGCGAAAAAAATCCTTCGGAGGGAAAGTAAAGCCGGCTGACCCATATTAGTAGATTTATTTGCATGTAAAAGATCAAGCCTAAATGACGCCTCTGAGCTAAATTCTAAACGCCTATTACTCGCCCAAGAAATACCTCCTTTCTCTGCTAGTTGGTGAAAGGAGCGTAGCGAAATTTGCGTGGTCAGACGGAAGAGCGGGCCTGATGGCCCGAGTCGCGCCATGTAAAGTAAGGCAAATTTCAATTCAATTCAATTCAACGTCAATTGAGAGAGAATGATAGCGAAGAGATGGATTGAGAGAGAAGCAGAGGATTCATTTTGGCTAGCAGTGTACATAATTGACGGTAGTAGCTAAACGCATGAGAGAGGGTATTATTGACACTGCAAATTTTTATTTGCATTTAGCCATTATGTCCCGTAAAAGGCAATTGTCCTCGGAGACGTTAGATCCCGAGGTTTCTATTCGGTCATCCCACCAGAAACCGGCGACATCTCGATTTCGCTTAACCATCATGATTTCACGTAATTAACGGATTCGGCTAGCGATGCCGGTTTCGCGGTCGTGGCCTTTCAGTAGAACCATCCCAGCATTCGCCTGGATGACCGAGGGAAACCACGAAAACCCCTGTCAGGTTAGCCGGCTCGGGGATTGAACTCGGAGCCTCCCGAATGCAAAGTGAACGCGCTACGTCCTGTGCCTCTTTGCTCGATGGCACTACGAATTGGTTCTCCAGAAAATATTTTACTGTCACCAGAGGGTAGTTTTAGACGTTTGTCATCCAACCAATCACCGGATCTCTAGTTTGATACCTCTTGCAATGAAATGATTTAACTGCCTTTGTTCTATGGACTCGTACGCTCAGCATCAAATTTACAATTATGATAGGTTCCAAATAAAACTCTAATTCGTACATTCTTTTCCACTTCTAGCGCTTGACATTACAACTAAATTCTCTGAGAACTGTTGGAGATGGGTCATAATTGTACGTATTAAATGTTACGTACTAGATGTTACGTGCGAATTAGTGTATTTTCTTCCGCCACTTTTTATTGCAGGACCGAATTGTCGTGTGCATAATTCCGTGAAGTTTCTCTACAACACTATTAAGGCAGCGAAAAACCACGTCGATGTGCGGGTACGGCTTCCGCCACTTGCAGCTCCCAAGGGCGATAGTTAGGGGCGTGTGAAGGGAACGCAAAGCCAACTCCGGAGCGTCACTTGCGTAACGCCAGCACAGGACGCCGCAGCAGACATTATCCCATTAAATTAAGAACAACAAAGACTAAGGCCACTTTTCAAAATGATGGAGTGACACGGCATAATCGTAAAAAATGTCACCGGGAAATTCATTGTCACCAAACAGAATAAAATCACGTTATACCGAAGATATTTTGAAACCTTCTTAACTTCCTGATCTGTTGAATATTATACCTAAATGAATAACTTTTAATTGAAAATATTACTATTAATTGTTTTCTAATAACGTAGGGTATTATGTACCAAATATTTTATAACATTGATGATTTTAGATCTTCAGAGGGCAACGATTAGGTGACCTTACTTTGTGTTATCATGTAATTAGTTAAACCATTTGAAAGACATTAATGTCGTCCAGCAAATTATGAATAAAAATGAAATGCGTTGTTAGTAAACTTCGGCTGCAGTACCAGTAAAACAAAGTATGCTTTAACAGCATTAAATGTTTAATTGCTAACGCATTCTAAATAACTAATGGATTGTGGAATTTGAATTAGCAATGACAAGCAAGAGGTAATAACGTAGGTAATAAAGAGGGAATGGACGTACTATATAAAATAATGAATGTGCAAATGTATTTATGGATGAATTAAATGAGAGAGAATTGCTAATAAACAAATCAATGGACCTTCCAATACGACGAAATTTTTCATAACCGAACTCTTTCGTAATTTCTATTTGTAGTTATGTGTGAAAACATAATTGAACTCGTGAACAGAAACGTCTTTACGTTAATGCATTAGGTTTTTCATTAAAGCTTATTTCGAGTGCGAGTGTTGGATTGTTGGTACCAAGGACAGGTGATAAGAGATTGTTTTGACTTCAGGTGTGGTATGCTGCGGTGTCTCAGGCTTTCTTTTCGCTGTCCGTGTGCTTTGGAACCCTCATCGTGTACTCTTCCTACAACGACTTCAATCACAACGTCCACAGGTAGGTGAAATTCACCATTTTATATTTTCTCTGAACTGTAGCAATTATTTTGTACTCTGAAATTAACTAACGTAAATTATAACAATAGTTTTCACAATTTTTTCTCTCCTTTATTTGGCTTAGTAAGTAAGTAGGAATAAGTTACGTGAAATGTCAACGACTTTGTGATCTAATAGCTACCAAGTAGTATTTACAAATGACATTTGAGTTGGTCAAAGAATTAAGTTCTCTAATTGGGAATCAAACTCTTAGTCTCCGAGAATTCGCCCAGCTCCCCTACCGCTTTTGCTACCGGGACTGAGAGTTCTAAAATTTCAACATTTTTTTGTATTCCAGAATTATAAAAGAACCTTTTCTGTTACAAGACATCGTTCACGATCGGGCATTTTACGGCACAAATGATGACGTATTAGATTTTATGTCACGAATGATTGCATCATCACACATTCAGCCAATTGTTGCGAGAGAATCGGGGGAGGTAGACGGAACAGCCGACCACCGTTTGCTCGCACGATGTCAAATACCCGAGTCGTCACAGGGAAGTTGTTACGCAAAATTAAGTTTGATTCTCTTATCAATGTATAATGCTGTTATACAAAAAAAATAGTATACAACTCGTTTATAATGTTGCTTTATTACATTCGTACAAATTTGAAAACTCGCTCCCAAAGTCGCTCGTTTTCAAAACATGTACTCATGCGATAAAGCTTAACATTATAAACTAATTGCATTAACTACTATTGGAACATTTTTTTAAAATTTTAACATTTTTAATAAAAATATTCACAATGGAAATACTTTGTTGAACGGAAAGGGATGTCACCAACATAGCAGTTAAAAAAATAACCTTACACCATGTTGGTGTTGGAGTTAGGTTTATTTGATCCCCCGCCCCCAACTCACCCCAAATAACATAAACTACTATTTGAGATTCAGTAACCATATCAAAAACAAATCAATGAGCGAGTGTGCGTTTGCGCGTGCCCTCAGAGATGCCGTGATCGTGACGTCAATGGACACGCTGACGAGCCTGCTGGCCGGGTGCACCATCTTCGCCATCCTTGGCAACTTGGCGCACGAGCTGGACAAGGGCGTGGACGAGGTGGTGAAGGGGGGCGCCGGTCTGGCCTTCGTCTCCTACCCCGACGCCATCGCCAAGTTCGACTGGGTGCCTCAGGTAACTATCGCGACGGAACGACACCACGCATTGGATCAGACTGGGTTTTGTTCATACGCTGCCTAGTCAACGTTTACGTGAACGATTTTCCGGTCACTTAGGAAGAAATACGTTTTCTTATTTTTACATTCATAATGTAGGTTTTGATTTTATTTGAATTTTTTTCTTTTTTAACTCAATAAAATATATATTATAGCAAATTACAATAGCAGAAATTTCGTGTGTCAAAATTAATTCCCAATCATCAATTTGTAAATAAACCATTACTGTAGAGTGGCATAAACTGGAGGTTATAAGCAAACTTGGAGGTAAACGTCATCCCTGTCCATAGAGTTACCAAGTGCATTAGGAATAATTTGATGAAAATAACCTACATCTTCATTAATTTACGATTAAACCCATTGAATGGCTATGCTATACTCCATTCGTGCTAATTTTAACCCTAATTTTCTTCAGTTTGATAAAGATTTGATTGTTTTGTTTGTAAAAAACAAATTGAAATGAGATAAAAATGTAGTAAAGAATGTTTTATGTTTCCCACATTTGTGAGCCTACACAAATACTTGCACTAAATGGCTAAAAACATCAAAACGAGAGTAATTGGTTTCGAGTCTTTAACATTGACTGCACAGAATAACGCTGTACGCGACAAAATAAAGGAGTAGTGGCATTTTGCGCTCAATTGTTATAATTGTAGAAAAGTATTAAGCGTCAGTGCCTACAATAATACATTCTCACATATTCGCAGTCTTGGTTATCTCTCAGACTGCGTTTAGGGCAGGAATGGAAATGTAGGGTTAAGAGTTGTCTCACTTGAGGTGGCCGAGATCACTAAGACAGTTGTGCCGAAGCGATCTCGGACCCAAGGATCGCGGGTATGAGTCCCGCCTCGAGCGTGGTTGTATTGTGTTCTCGTTTCACTCCGTATCATCATCATCATATCGTGTCATCCTCACAGTTACCATACCGTTACAAGCAATAATGACATCCTCACAGTTACCATACCATTACAAGCAATAATGACATCCTCACAGTTACCATACCATTACAAGCTATAATGTCATCCTCACAGTTACCATACCGTTACAAGCAATAGTAGTCGCTAATGACCTAGAAGTTGTTGCGACCTTAAATAACAAAAAAAAGGTAGTCTGACTTGAGGTGCGCTGGGTGTGTTGCAGCTGTTCTCGGTGCTGTTCTTCCTCATGCTGTTCACGCTGGGCATCGGGTCTGCCGTGGCGCTGGCTGGAGCCGTCATCACCATCATCTGCGACCAGTTTCCGTCCTTCCGCTACAGCTACGTTGCCACCGCCGTCTGCACCGTCGGTTTCCTCGTCGGCCTCGTCTACGTCACGCCGGTGAGCATCAACCTCGAAGCGCTCTCGCGTTATTTTGGGGTTGCATACGACATCAATGTCGATGTTTTTAAAACACCGGTATTTTTGTAGGAACATCGGTGTTTTAAACATCGATATTTAAAAAATATGTTTTTTTTTCTATTAAACAATTTCTTTATTTACGAGTCACAATTTGACAATCCATATATCATTCTCGTCGGCGATACGAGTCTTTAAAATGATTCTTCACGGATATAAGAAAAAAGATCATTAACCAGAACTATTCACGATTGACAGTAAGGTCATCAAAATATTTAATATTTTGGTACTCTTTATCATCGGACCTTCCCATCAGGATCATTTCTTTGACTTACAAATCCCAAGATAACTCTTTCCTGTCTAAAAAACGTCACATTTCCATCTAATAACATGAAGATTTGGCCAAGCTCATTCCATCTCTACCTTTATCGTAATTTCATACCGTGGGGTTAATTTTTTGTATATTTATATATTAAAGAGGCCGATTTGTTACAGTATCAATTTTAATAACGACTGATACGACACTTTTAATAACGACAGTATTTTTAAATGTCAATTTATTGTGTTTCGTAAGAGAGATTTGAAAGGTGTTTTGCTTTTAAACTTTCTCGAGATAATAGTACATAATTTGAATATTCCTTCTACTTCTGCTGTCATTTAGCGCCGACATCAAAGTAGAAACGAGATACCTAACTATTAGTGAGAACGAGAGGCATTCTCAGGTATTTCACACTTCAAAAAGAAATTAACTGACTTATGGTACTATATCAAACAAATAGAATGGAAGCGTACAGTTTTCCGTGTCATATTATAAACATAAACGCCGACGAATTTCAAATATTTTTCCCAGCCCTTCCAAAATAAGTATCAGCAAAGAAAATAATAGAAAAGGGAATGAGAATTAAATTGTAAAATTGTATCTCCAAATATGGGTCGCCACTCCACTCCACTTCACTTTCGACACACTTCTTCGAGCACCTCCTTGAAGTTGAGAGCTGCTGATCTCAACAGCCATTACCTTCCAAACAAAGAATGTTTTGTTTAGGACAAACCCATTTCTAGTTTCTATGTTCGTTGTTTAAATCATTTTTAATGAAAACGATATTAAATTAATACATTGTAATATAAATATAAGAACATTTGAATCAGCAGAAATGAAATTCTTAATCTTTTGTGAGTTAATGTCCAAGTATGCATCATGTTAGTGTAGATATTAGAAACGAATTACAAATTGATGGTAAGTACACACGAGTATAAAGATACCCATAATATTGAACCCAGTTTATTTCAAGATTGTAAAATGAAAGACCAAACTTGACCACAAAAGGTGGTGTAGAATTCGAAGTGATGGCATTCGAGTGAAAGAGAGGCTCCGGGAAGAGCTGAGAGAACTCCACGTTTGGTTTCGCCCTGACTGAAAGGCCGAATTCTTGCAGAGGATGCTGAATTTATAATAGCTATAATTTTTAAGTTTCTTATTCCTCCAGAGGGTTTTAAGTGTCTTGAAATGACATCATATTTGCGTTCTATTCTTGAGATTTACAATTATATCAATCGACATGACATTTAATGGGTAATTTCTGCACTGAATCAATTTTACTTTTGTCGTATTATTTTACAATTTTTAAATTGGAATGATAATTAATAATTGTTAAATAAAATAATGCACAAGAATGGAGTCTCAAGTTTGGTAATGAGCTATCAAAAAAAAAAGTCGACAAGATTTTAAATACTAAATGAAAGACGGTGATAATAAAGAGAATTGACAAAATTATCAACTCGTTCTTCCGAAGAGATGAGTCTTTTGCTTTGTGGAACCATTGACAAACTCTTTGAAGACCCGAGTACGATTGATAACGATGACAGCTCTTAATAAACTTGTATCAAGAACACCTCTAATCAAACAGAATGTTTCCTCTCTTTTTAAATCAAACATCTGTTGCAATACGAATAATCTGTTTCTTTGAGTAAATGAAAATAATCCTAGGAGAACTTCAACTCTTCACAATAGTACCGATTTTTCATAGAGAAGTTTATAAAGTATTCCTTCTTTCTGTTCGAAAAAAATTACGAAATGTTCAACAACTATTGAATCCGAGGAAATACCAGTTCAATTAATCTTACAACGATTAATTGCCCGTAAATAATTTTAAATAAAAAATGGTTATACTCGTATTACGTGCATTGTATGAGTCGTATATATTACAAAAAAGAACTGTCGGTGTAAAAACATTTTGTATAACTGACACGTTCAAAACTAATTTTAACTCCATGTCTGTAAGGGTAGTTATGCGGTAATTAGTAATATAATATCGTACTTTCACAACATCAACATGTTTCTCCAAAGAGCTACCGATTCAAATATCAGAGATTCAAGAGATAACAAATTTTGATTACGAGTGTCTCAACAAGCCAATCGATTGCATGAGAACAACTGATAAAGTGGCGTAATTCTAAAAAGATATTTCTTCAAGACACTTGACACTTCACTCCACTCCTCTCTGCTGTTCCACGAACAGTTACGTATATCTGAAATAGATAATTTTTGCAATAGTCACTTAGGTACTTACAAATGAAAGTGTTGACACAAGAGGATGCTGGAAATTCCTTTGTTTATATACTTGTAGAGTTAGTATTAGTGCTCCTATAGTTACAACATAATTATCCTTATTTATGGGCTTGCTAAGGTGTATTATTTGGTATTCAGAACTAAACATAATTTTCTTTTGCAGGGCGGCCAATACGTTCTGAGTCTCGTGGATTACTATGCTGTCACATTCACAGTCTTCATATTGGCTTGCATTGAGATGATGGCCGTCGCCTGGATCTATGGTAAGAACCTCAGTTTACATACATTTTTAGTATATTTCAATACACAGATGCAAATGTTCAGTATCAACATAGCAACACAAATGTTTCGTTCCATTGCCACTCCTATATTGTGCGTGTTGTGCTCAGGGGTCGACAACATGTGCAAAATAGTTCTCTCTGTGGTGTTCGTGTCGGTTCAATGTATCAAAAGAAATGCTCCCTCCCAATATCCCGATATGTCGTTTCATTGTCTTGCCTTATTGTGCGCAGGGATGGATAACCTGTGCAAAATCTTTCTTCCCGTGGTGTACGTATCGGTTCAATGTATCAAAAGAAACGTTCCCTCCCAATATCCCGATATGTCGTTTCATTGCCGTTCCTG